AGGAGGTGGGGGAGGCGGAGGAGGGGGGGGTGGGGGTGGGGGTGGTGGGGGTGGAAGGAATGATGGTGGTGGTGGGGAAGATGAATGCACATCCTGAAGTGGAGGAGCAACGGACACAGGCAGATTCTTCTCAAACTGCTCTGCATTTCCTCTATCAACATTACAAATTGAACTTATTTCAACATCACTAGAGGGAGCCACATCTTCCATTTCAAGTTCACCATCAACATCTTCCAAGATATGCCTGTGTTTTGCAGAAGTCATTTCATGTACTTCAGAAGCATGCTCAGGCGTGACAGCCTCAAAGTTCCCGCCATCAGAATCACTCCCTTCCCCATCATCTTCATCCTTAAGCATTCGGGGCATGAAGAACCCAGGCAGCTGAAAAGTGGAGTTACTACAAGATCAAATGAACAATAAGTGAGCACAGTCCAAGAAGTGCACAAACATAAATAACTCAAAACATTCTGTACTAAAAAATTCAAACCTTCCATATTCGTCAACAAGCATACCCTCCATTTCTCTAACAGGGTCATCCAAAGCCCTCTCTGTTCTCAATGATCGCCGCAAATGGATACCTGCAGAAGCTGAACTGCTATACAAATCCAGTTCCCGGATATGACGGCGAATAACGGATTCTGGTAGGATTCTTCTCTCCAACCACAGCCTTAAAACCTATACAAATTCAAAGCAAAGGTAAATAAAATATGATGATTTTCTTTTTATCTAAGAGAATCAAACCAAGAAATTACAACAACTATTGCACACTAATCAATCAACTGAGCTAAAAATCCCTCAGTCAAAATATGATGATTTAGTTTAACTTCATTAACATGAAACTTAATTAACTTGCCTTGAGACACTGCCTACGGTTTTCTTGAGCAGTATTTCCAGGAGGAGCAGCAGCAGATAATAGTCGTGGAAGGACTGCTTGAATAGCAGATGAATACACACCACAAACATCACCTGCAAAATCAGACATTTTATATTAAAATTCATTATCTTGGACTTTGGCATTACCTCTCTTTTCTTAGTTAGATAGATTCACGATTAACAAAGCAATAAACATGTCACCTTTTAAACAACGAGAAGACTGTGCAATAGAGTCTACAAGAAAAAACAAATCCACCCTCCGATGCAGGCTAGACTCCATTTCCAGACTATGGGCAAGAATTTCCATGACCTGGAACATGGGCCAAGGCCACAAAAATTGCAAATGGTATCAACAAATATGTAAGCTTTTGCAAGTAAAATTCAACAATTTTGCATAGGAAATCACTACAAAGTCAACTGAAGGAATTTAGGTCCCGAATAATTACAACACCGCATACATGTGCCAACTCCATGGTTAGACTCAAACAAATTTAATGAAATCTCTCTGAGACTATAATTCAAAAAAAGCCTTCAACCTAATTCACACATTATATGAAATAGCTATATGAACAATCATTGCTCTATATTAGAATTTAGAAGAGGTACCATCATACTGGAAACAAGGAATAAACAGGAAAGAAAACAGCTAATTGTATTGAATTAATGTAACTTGTTAATAAGTAGAAGCTGCATATGTATTGAAATAAACTAAAATATATAAATGATTTAAGAAAAAGTTTCTTTTAGAAGATAGGAGTAGGTGTGTAATTGGATATGCATATTTAATTTCAACTGACAATTTTACCCTCTCCTGGTTATAGTAAGAAAATGACAATTAGAATTTAGGGGAGGTAAAGAAAGACAGCAAGGGGATACCATTTCTGTGCTAGCATAGATAAACAAACAGCTAATTGAAAATTAACTTTTTTCTATTTTCAATGTTTAGGGTTTTCAATATACACAACCATTGGAGAGGCATGGTCTCTCCAACTAAAAGTTTTCAATCAGTACCTTTAACATCTCAATATACCACAGAATTTGATACTAAAATATATTTTATTAGTGATACACTCAGGATTATATCATTATAATGATTTCACAAGGATTATATCATTATAATGATTTCACAAGAAATCAAACTTCTCTCCACCACATTTGTTTTAATGCTGCAATGAAACAGACACCAAGGGCTTGTTTGTTTCCTATTTTTGAAAACTGTTTACAGTTTTTTTATTAAAAAAAAAAACTTTTTTGATGAGTGTTGGATTTTGAAAACTGTTCTCAAAACTAATATCTCTTCTTTAGCACTTAAAATAATATAAAAACTAAAACATCTTAGTTGTTTTGGTTTTCTACTTTCAATCTTCTATTACTCGTGCTCTTCCTTGCACTTTCACATCCTCCTCCACTCCTACTCTCTGAAATTAGATTTTGAAAATTGTTTTATAAAATGTTCTTAAAAAATAAAAATAAAAAACACAATCAAAGTTATCAAACACACCCTAAATAATAAAAAAATAAAATAAAAAATTGTAAAAGACTGACTAAAATGAAATAGCACTCCCATCTCAATACAAGCATGGATAATAATTAAAAAATAACAATTCTGATTCAGGGCCCCATATCAAGCGAAATAAGATTGAGAGAAGCTTGGTATCTTATTAGAAAGAACAACAACTTCTTCCCACTCCCACATTACAACACCTAACTTGCAAAATTTTGAGTGTCTTGCCTCCCAATGCCGAAAGGCACCAATTCTCTCACATATGACTCATCTGCCTTAATTCTTTTCTATCTCAGCCTAACAAACTAAAATGGCTAAGCTTTACAAGCTCTTATTACACATTATCTCTAGTCAATATGGGACTGATTTTTCTCAATACACCCCTCACGCTCAACATTATTGAACTTAATGCATGGATATGCAACAGATGGCACAATAATGAATCTAGGATAGGTTCTAATGCCATGTTGGAATTTTTGCACAGGCTCCATAAGGAGTGTGGACTGGGATAGATCTGTATCAAGCAAGGGAGATATATTGTCCAAAAAGTTCAAATCATTCAGACTCTACACCTCTATGCTTATATACACTTTTGCTTGTCCTTATTTTCCCAATGTGGGGACTATATAATTCTCCTAAACTCCCCTTGAGTTCAACTGGGTTGGTCCTTACTTATGTTTTAAGTTTCTCTTATTTAATTGTTATTTTTTATTTATCATTTTTAATCACCATTTAGTCTTTGATAAATGTTATGATATTGTTTTTTGAGACTTGTGATATTTTCTTGAAATATAGTCTATGATTATGCTGCTTTTAATTTATTTATTCTAATATTTAATTTATTATATATAGAGAGAGTTTATTTTTTGTCTGCCATATGTATATGGCGGATTTTTGGCTTACTGCCATCCATTATTGATAACCTTGCACACTGCAGGAGAGGAGTGGTAAGAGGCTCTTTAAGTTCAGATAACAGAGATTGTATCTAAAGAATATAAGATGATGTATTTGTCTAGATTTCTATACTCCATTTCAGTGGCCAATCCTGCAACAAGAGTTTGTTTCTTTGACCACCAAGACAAAAATAGATACATGAATCAGAAATGGACTTCCTTTAATCAGGATCTGAATCCCAGTTTCCATAAGAGAAGGCAGATTGAGGAGTGTTGGAACATACATGACATGATAAATATCACGTGCCATATTTAGCATGTTATTTGGGTATTGTTTACAGAATATTTTCATGAAATTTTGTTTCTGTTTTCTTTTTTTTTTGTTACCATGATGGCAATATCATTTCCCTGCAAATCCTAGGTTACTAGGTTAAAGCAAGATATATAATTATATATATATTAATTCCCCTGTACACTTTTGATCAGAAAATAATATCTAGTTTTTTAGTACTCTTTAGTCTTTTCAACTTTCAAGTGTTAGAATCTGAAGGCTACAATTAAAAAGCATATAAACAAGAATTTTTTTTAGCAGGTTTGAATCACTATTTTTTTCTCTTTTACTTGATAATAATACAAGAACTTAACAGAATCAGATTGCATGAGCTCAGTGATCCAACAAGCTTGAAAAAATAAAATCCCAAGGCTCCATTTACTTTTGCTTTCATTTTCTGTTTTCACTTTTTAATTACAAAACTGTCACCTTGTTTTCAAAATTTTGTATAGGAAACAAGAAAACAAAAAAAAATAGTTGTTTGAGTAAATTACATAAATACCCCCTTCAGGTTTCATGAGATTGCACAAAACCACAAACACTCCCTACCTTTTCTGTCCATACAATAAACCTCCTTAATTGTTTGAAAAACATTACACTAACACTCTCTAGACATTACATTAACCCCCCTTAATTATTTAAAAAAAATTACATTGTAACACCCTATAAGAGAGGTTATTGTAAATGGTAAAAAAGCAAAGGATGTCCATGCAATTTCACAAAGCCTCAGGGGGGGTGTCAATGTAAAATACTCGAGTTGTTTTCACTTTGGTGTTTCTTGCACAAATCTTTGAAAACATGAAACAGATTGAAAACAAGGTAATGATTTTTGAAATTAAAGAGCAAAAACAGGAACCTAAATAAGAATATGGGTTCAAATGGGCAGTTAGCACATCAGTTGCCCAAGCCCACAGTTTGGAAAGTTTATGTTAGGAATAAATAAGGAGCAGGGAAAAATGTTAATGTGGCACAGAGAGAAGAGTAAGCCAATTGTGTGATGAGTTCTGTTATATTGAAACACAGACAGGGAGGATAGGGAAGAGAATCATTGAATTTAATATGGACAGGGAGCATTAGCCCTCTGTAAGAGTTTAGCTCTGGCAGTACTGCAGTAGGAATATTCATTCCACTGCATCCCTTCATTTAAAAATAATACACCTTATTTACCATTATCAAGCTTTTTTCTCTGTTAATTGCTACTGTGTTAGTCTGGTTTGTATCATAAATAGATGCAATTATCAAAATAAAGTAGAACTAATCTTAATAAACAAATATTCACAACAAACATTTTAAGAATAGAGTGTAGGGGGCTTTTTAATTATAAAAAATCATATTACCTTAGCTGCAATACCAAACTTTGCACAGTCAATAGCTATGTGTGTTGCCCGACCAATACTTTCCTTTGTCCTTGTCAATGTCCCAAGCATCGCTTCGAAGTACAACAAAGCTGCACGCCCTGCTTCAGTTGACTTCCCCATCCATCTTGATTGTTGAGTTGCCACGTACCCTTCTTTACTTCCATCAACAGGACCAGATAAAGTTTGCTTCTGGTGTAAATGTACATCAGGGCTACAACTTCCATTGTGAAGGATATTACTACTGTCTGATGTTGAAACATTGCATACAGACGTAGTTGGAGGTGATCCTTGAGGAATGCAATCTTCCCCATCTGTCAAGGATGGACTTGACCGAGTGTCTGAAATACCCTTTACATCCAAACAGTTATCAGATGTTGAGACAGAATTCATATCCTCTTCTGGTCCTTTACATTTTACCTCTTTCACAACCTCTCTCCTGGAATTAAAGAATAGACACAAACGTTCTTTAATTGAAAGAAATTAAGCATAAATAAGTTTTATTTGACAATTGATCTCTTTCATATTCACTATCATTAAAACAACAATTCAAAATATCAATTTATCCTGTAGAATTCAATCAAACTGAACTCCACAATTAGTTTATGGTACAAAAAGAAAACTACTTACACAATGTATGATCTAAATGAGAAAAGCATAAATTCATCCTACAAAATTCTGTAACAAGATATAACAACAGAGAAAACAAGCTTTACGTTACATGATTATAATTGTTTTTCTTAATTTTTTCTTCTTCGCTTTGAGGGTTTGAACGGAAGAGTTAAAAGGCTAGGATCTACAACATGCCATAAGTAAAGCTTACATATCATTTGCTGTGCCAATATCAACAACTGCTGGCTTCTCCAAGCACCCTGTATCCTCACATACAGCAACCCCATTACGAAGCACATCAGCATTATGAGGTAAAAAAGTGTAATTTTCATTCACACCCATTCCTGGGTCAAGGCTTATTTCGTTGTTTCCCAATGCATCAGATGCTGCATTTGAATGTTTCAGAGTTCTAATGTTGTCTTCATCATTTGGTGGTGATATTGGATCTGGCAAATCTTGATTGCTTCCAACATCACAACATTTTGAATCAAGATTAGGAGAAATTTGTCGATGTGACTGAATTTTTAAATCTGCTTTAGCTGTCTGATAAGCCAAATGATCACTAAGCTCTTCACCAACTTCATCTGTAGCATCTGGGAGAACATCCTTGCCAGTTTCATGTTGTTGTATCTTGGTCAACTGCTTATCCACTTGGATAGATGATTCATTCTCTGTTGAAATCAATGGATTTGAACTGGTTGAGCTAAACACATTGATATGAGAAGAATCAATGTTGCAAGTATCAGACTTTTGCGCCCCTAAACCATTACCTTCTTCATTATTAATGGGCATATTCGGACATCTATTGACAGTAGATATACAACACGTACCACTTGATGTCATTATGGAGGATGATGCTTCCATATGAACTTGACCTTCTTCAGCAGCATTAGCTGACATGGCTTCTAAAGCACGATGGAGGCGTTTAGATGGAGGTAAAGCAGCTTCACCGTCCACAGAGCTGAAGGTTTTATCTTTCCTAGTATTACAAATCTGAGTGTTGGAACATGGAACTGATACTTTTGGAGAAACGTTATCTATAGCTCCATTCAGCACAGATGAGTCTCCATCAACAGGGCTACTATTCTCACAATTTGAGGATGTGATCATCTGATGCACTGAGTTAGTATCTTCCTTACAGTTTTTTTCTTGGGATTGTTGAGTGCTATGAAGTTCTGCTTCCACAGAAGATTTACCCATTCTGACTCTTGCTCGTTTCACAAGGGGCAAGTGCTCATCTCCATCTTGTTCAAAGCATCTTTCTTTTGAATTTCCACAATTATTCTGTGAACTTTGACTGCCATTCTGCACACAAGTCTCCTCCTCTGGCCTACTGATTGGCATAGAAGCATCATTAGCAGCCCTCTTTCTATTCGGTTTTCTTTTCTTCTTATTGACTACAGATATTATTTCGAGATCAAGCCCTTTATTCAACTCAAGTTCTGGACAATCAATAGTTTCAGCAAGTTCAAGTTTAAAATTTGAATCTATTGTACTACCATCATTCAAGCTAAATGTATCCGAATCAGTTGTGATAATTTCAGAACTATTGTCCTCCATGCTGCCATTGGAGACAAAAGCGGATGATTCAAAATTGTTACAGCCAGAAAGATCAGGTGACTTCCTAACACGTTTATTCCTTCTTGTAGGTGCACTCTGGGTTGCAGTAGTTGATGGGTCACCAGCACTCTTTCCACCGTATTTACACGCCACTACACAGCTTTCAATAGTTTCAGCAAGTTCAAGTTTAAAATTTGAATCTATTGTACTACCATCATTCAAGCTAAATGTATCCGAATCAGTTGTGATAATTTCAGAACTATTGTCCTCCATGCTGCCATTGGAGACAAAAGCGGATGATTCAAAATTGTTACAGCCAGAAAGATCAGGTGACTTCCTAACACGTTTATTCCTTCTTGTAGGTGCACTCTGGGTTGCAGTAGTTGATGGGTCACCAGCACTCTTTCCACCGTCATTACAAGGCAACACAAAGTTTTGGGCACGTGATGAACTTCTAGACCTCCGTACTGAGGTGTAACTATTTGTTACACAGCCTGGCAGGCACAAGTCACCCACAGATCTTTTTCGAGAAGAGTAAGTAACTGGCTTAGGTGATTTTACTGCAGCAGTCTTATCAGTAGGCTCCCCCAACAATGCCTCCGTATTATTAGATTCATCTTTAAATACAGCAGCTGACTCATCCTCAGTGGCACAACCCACCTCTTGTTTGTTGATAGAATTTGATGTATCTATTGGTAATGTATGTGTCAACTCATGAGCAACAGCTTGATCCTTGGCAGATGAGTTAACAGGATTTGAAACATCTGCATTAGCAACATCACCAGCAGAACCAATTTCACCAAGCTGAGGCTCTTCTTTTAATTTCTCATAACTTTCAATTATCTCCTGTACAGCACGACTAAAATCAGCACCCTTTCCATGACGTTTTCCAAGAAGAGACTGTTTTTTCTCCTCAGTAAATGCTTCCACATCTGCAGGATTGCAGAATGCACTACAAAACAAAATATCATTTTAAAAATAACAACTAGCAAGATAAAATATATATCTAAGATATCATGTACAAGTAAAAAAAAAATGCCAAGAGGGAGTACAAAAGCTTCAAAATAAAATCACAATTTACCCACAAAAGTCATATTTCATTAGTACTCAAACTACCCAATATTCAACATTGCAACACAATGTAATATGCCTTACATAGGGCCCCCATATTTGGCTAAAAATTTACTGAAATTGTGGCCATTTGTTCAAATCAAACAAATCACAAGTGAAGAAAGACTTTCAAAAGTCAACACCTGGTTTTATCCTTTCTTTCCCCTTCAATAATACTTCATCTCACCAAATCTAACACAATCATATCCAGCCTTATTCAACGCATGAATTTAAAAGAAAATAGCAATTCTAAATTAAATAAAAAAATTATATTTTCAATTAAAAAAAAAAGAACAAGTTCCAACTAGTAAAGCTTCAATAAGCTTTAGAGAGATTTGGCTCCAATAAAAGCAAGAAAGTAAAGGAGTATCACCCTTGATTTTAAGTAGGTTAAGTTTAGGAAGCACATTAGGATGGGTGCATCCTTATCTTCTCACTTAAGAGGAGCTAAATGCAAGGTCAAGAATGGGGTCAACAGAAAACAACTAACAAAATCTAGAGGCCACCTTTCACAACAGAAGAAAAGCAATTGCAGATAAAAAGAAACACAAGACAAACTAGATACTGAAATATTTGGGGTCATTAATACACTCACACTCTGACATGGGATCCAATATCTAAAATGTTTCTAATCAATAAAATCACCAGGAGGTTTACATTAGCAGTTGTTTAGCATTATTTTCAGATCACAGGTCACACTGGTATTTTGTACTTTCTTTAGTTCTTGCATGAATATACACAGTTAAGTTAAATATTGAGATTCCAGAATTTCAAGTCAATTACTTCTTTCAATAATTCATTTCAAATCAGTGTTATGTTTGGAACTGTCATCTACAAATTCATGAAGACCTGAGAATGAAATTGTACTTAATTGGGTAGTAGAAAAATGCTAGCAACACTTTCTTTTGAACACACTATTCACTATTGCCTGAAATTTATTGGATATCACAATTCTTTGAGTCCTATTTCTTATTTAATCACAATATATTGGAAATCACAAAAATTTGTAGGTCCAATAAATTTTAAGCAATAATAGAGTGTTGCTAGCACTCCTCTTGGTTAGTATTAGGAAAGAAACTTTTTTGGTAGGCTGGGGGCGTGGGGGCCGGGGATAGTGTTCTTCAAAACTAGCAACTTTGAATGCAGGTCATTCAACAGGTCACAGGAGTACTTCAAGATACACAAAAGAAAAAGAGAAGAAAAAAAAATGCAACTTGCAACATAAATTAAGAACCCCTATACATACAAGAGAATAATGGAAATGGCTCCTTTAAAACATAATCTCAAATGTTATTGAAGTGAAATGGTTTAAGGATGAGCTTTAAACTTTTATTGCATCATACACCACTACAGCTCGTTTCAAAAATCCCATTGATCCAGGGAAGAATTCAATCCCACTCCAATACCATGCCTGATCACAAATCCCACATCACAGATTTGGTAAGTTTCGCAAGCATATATAAGCTATAGAAAGCTATGAGATGGCACATCAAGTTGCGAGCCACAGGGCATTTAATGGCAACCATATGTTGCCTTTATATGTGTGAGAGAGATGCTTAAATAGGCCACTTTGAACAGAGCATGAAAGTTAAAGAAAATAAAAAAGATAGGATTGTTCTAACTTTTCAACTGGTCCAGGTTGACAAGTTTTCTCGGTTAAAGATTGATTTACCAATTTTTGACCAGATTCTTACCATAGCAAAGAAAGAATTTCTATGGATGAACCCTGGATCCAAATTGTTTTGCCCATGTGGTAGCAGCCTTAGTCAAGGGTAGAAGATAAAAAATGAGTGATTTCCCTATATATTCGAGAGATTGGGACTCTCCCCACCCTCCAAGAGTATAAACCTTTCTCAAATGATGAGATGATTTCTCTTCCAACTCAACCACCCCTTTATTTATAGGCAGTGGAATGCCTTATTTCTTCTAATATCTCAGCCCACCTAACTAACAGACACCTAACCAACTACTAATAGATATCAATCAAGCAGTTCATATAAGGGGACTGGTTTTTGGTTCAACTAGCTGATCTAGTATGTTTTCAAAACTATGATTCTAAAACACCACTGTTACCATTCAAAATTAAGAGGGGCCCTTGTTCAATTAAACTTCAGATAATTTCTTTTCAATCTTCAGAAACCAAGTTATCCCTTGCTAAAAGGCAGAGACTTTGGGCACAGGAATCATGATTGTAGGATTCAAATGCTATACCTAAAGTAATTAATCCTAGATAGCTAACTAAGAGCAACCTAACCCAAAACTAATAATGTAGTATAGCAAATAGTGGGATTGGCTACTACATCAAAGATGGTAGATACAATGTAAATAATTTGTAATACAAAATACCAAACACTCAAACCTGAAAACAAAAATACACAAAACTTGAGGCATATTTACTATTAATACACAAAAGTCATAGCTTACTTAAAGACACAATCATCATTAATTTAAACCATAACTAATGACATTAAGTCAAGAACAGTGATGATGATATGTTATGGAGGGCATGCCTAGTTCTGGGGAACAACATTGGAAACAGAGGTAAATTATTAGTTAACAACTATCTGGAAAATATCACTTACTTAGAGATTTCAACATGAAGACCACAATCAAACCATACTAGTAGCTAGTTAAGCATGATATCCATAAGAAATCGTGATATTGTGGATATCTTACATGTACCACACACTAAGGGCCCATTTTGTGGTTATGATAAAGATGATAGGATGGGATAAGCCATCATATCATATTTAAATCCATTATATAGCGAGCTATTAGGATATGTTAAGTTTATCTTGTTGATTATCCCATCTTGTCCATTAGTTCAAAAGTTATGGCCACAAGAGTTGGACTTAGAACAAATAGGTTAGGAGAGATACAATTTTCCCCTTTCACCCTCAACTCACATTTAAGCAACTTTATACCACTATCACCACCATTACCATAATTGTCATTGTCACTGCCACCATCACCACCATTGTCACCATAGCCACAATCCCTACTGCTACAATACCATTATCATTGTCATCGCCACCATCAATATTATCGCCACTTTGTGCACACATCACTATCACTACCACTACTAAAACTTCCATTACCACCACAATTGCTTGAGTTGTGATTACCACCACCATCACCACATTATCATCACATACCATTACTATCAGCATCATTGTCATCGCTAGCATCACTACATTGCTACCACCATTGCTGCCACTATTGTCATTGACAACATTATTATTGATCATTGTCGCCACCGCCACAATTGTCGTCATTAACACAATTGTCACTGCTATTAGCACCACCACCATTGCTACCCTTGTCACTATTCCCACCGCAAACACCATTTTTCATATGGAAAATTTTGTCATTTGCATACAACTTATATTGCTAGCTATTAAATTATTGGTGTGCACCAAACATAACATTTTATTCTATCCTCTTATCTTATTTATCATTTCCTATCCCGTTCTCCATCTGAGCACTAAGCTTCTATTGCCTTGATTATGAAACTTGAACAGGTATATTTGATAGCTGAAGTTATGTTATACATATCAATCGCCATAACCAGAATACTACCAGCTTTCAAGCAATCAAATGAGCCATTACATGGAATACTTACATTTGTTGGGTTCCAAAGAAGTGAACAAGCACTTTCTTCCAATCAATGGAGTAACCCCACTTCTCCGGCTCACTGACCTGCCACCAGCGAAGAACTTGATAAGTCAAACGAAATAACTAGATAACTACTACAAACAAGGGGAAAACATAAAAATACATTTTTATAACCTAAGGAATAAGGCTTATTTTTTCTTACATCATGAATTAGGGTGCATTTGGTCAGAGGGTAACAAGGAGAGAAATTTAATGAAGAAAATTTTAATGGGAAAAAAGCATGTTTTATTAGAGTGAAGAAAGAGAAAAAATGTTACGGGTGTAACTTCTTTTTTAATTTAAGTGTAAAACTTGCACTAATATTGACAGGGGTAACATTTCCAAGACTTGCATCCTCTCCTCTCTGACACTATTTCCTATGCATATCTCACTCTAAACCCTCACTTCTCTGTTTCCGCTGTTTCTCTTCCTATGCCAAACTTTCTCAACCATCAAACAGGAGCCATCAAAATCCCTCTACTACTCATGCTTCATAACTCGTATCGTCATAAGGATATCAGGTTGCAGGCAAGAAGAGAGCTTTTGTTCTCAGGCACGGGACTTCACTCAGATTGTATATAAACGTTCCAAATGAAAAAAGGAAAAACAAGGAGAAGATGGCTTTAAAACTATTTCATTTATAACCATACCAAACCCAGTGAGAAAAACAACTTTCAATCCAACACTTATCGTTTATTTCTGAAAAAATTGCTCATTTAAGATTTGCCCCCTTAAATTTTAATTATGTACCTAACAAACACTGCTATAGACGCGCTAATTATTCAACAGGTTTATTTTCCAGCAACGAGGAGAGACCAAAAAGTCAAAGCTTCAGATGGGTCCATCCTACGATCACTAGTTTCTATCTCCGCCGCCGCCACCCCCCGGCTACCAAAGAAACAAAACGTCGCGTTCTCCATCAGAAGCAGTATAGAATTAAGAATTCACAAACTTTGAAAATCTGCCGAACACAATTCCAGTTCAAGACTAAATACATCTACAACATATTCATCGGAGCAAGTCAAGAGGAGTGTAAAATCCATGTATGACAAAGCAAGCTCAAGACTTTAAGGTCAGAAAGCCATGCATATCCGTCTTCTAGAACCATCATCCAGGAAAAACACATAAAGGCATGAAATTCACGCATGGATCCACAATAATCCCAGTAAATTAATACACTAAAACCAATAATTCTAAACCCTACCGAACATGCAATCCAGATACATATCAAAAACACATTTTAAACTGCACAATCAAGAGAAACACAAACTTTCACAGTAATTTGTAAAATAGAAAGAGGCGCCTACCGTGGCAGGCCATGCAGGGTAGCCCTTGACTTTGGCAAGTACAAGATCGCCCACCTTCCACTGGTGGCAAGCGGCCGCCGCCGCCGCCGCCTTACTGTGGCCCTTTCTGCGGCTAGGCGCCATGGGAAGAACCCTATAGTCAAATGAGGGGAAGAAGTAATATGAACTGAATCGAATGCCGAATTCGCGAGATAAAGGAACAGCTTGGCACTATTTGGACTTTGCCGACGGATTTGGCAGGCATTGAAACGCGAGGGATAGGGGAGAAGCGGAGAGGTGTGAGAAAGAGAGTCAAATGAGGGGAAGAAGTAATATGAACTGAATCGAATGCCGAATTCGCGAGATAAAGGAACAGCTTGGCACTATTTGGACTTTGCCGACGGATTTGGCAGGCATTGAAACGCGAGGGATAGGGGAGAAGCGGAGAGGAGTGAGAAAGAGTGTGTGAAAGCAAACCCTAATTGAGAGAGAGAGAGACAGAAGTTTGAAGGGATTTTGGGGGCTCAAGTGGTTTTTTTCACAGAAATGAGTTGGTTAGGTGGAAGCTAGACACGGAGTATGGGCTTCTGGTTTCGGTGAAGTGGGCTAACGTGCGCCCAGTGTTGACTGTAGACAATTGATAATAATGAGATGTCACCATGAGATGCACTGTGTGCGATCATTAACTTAGATATACTTCCGTGCACGTGACATGAATGTGACCATTCCAAAATATTCCATGCCAAGGCCCCGTTTTTTGGGCTCTGTTGGACTTTATGATCTGCGTCTTTTTTTCTATTTATACCTCCTTATATACTAATTACATCTCTTTTCTTTATATATTTTATTATTTAATATATCTTTCTAAATTATATTTTTCACTTCATGTTTATTATACTTTAAATTAGAAGCGGACTCAACAAATCGAATTAGATTTGGACTATATTTTAATTTAACCCCATTTGATCAACTTTAATTTATTTAGAATGGTCCATTTTTATTTTTTGTCTATGATTTGAGTGAATAAGATTCAATCTAATCATTATTAGTTTGGATAGGATAATTTTATTAAATTTATTACTAAAATAATAAGAAAATATTTAGACAACTTGTAAAATATATTATCATGATATTAATTGATAAACATAACGTTATAAAATATTACTTAAAAGATTTCAAGAAAATAAGGTATCATATTCTACCAAAAAAGGGTTTAATCTAAATTAGGAGGGGTTAAGATATTTCTAAAAAATTAAATATTGCAATCTATCAAAAAGTGCTTAAGTCATTTTAAAAGGATTTAAGTAATGTAGTACTAGCAAGAAAAAGTTCTTTGAAGCAAATTTGCTTAAGTCATTTTGAAAAGATTTAAGCAAATTTGCTTTCTTCGTGGTGAAGGATTTAAAAAGGGTTTAAATTATTCTAAAATGGCTTGAACCAATTTGTGGCAACAAATAATCCTTAGTTTAATAAACAAAAACATATACGAAAGGGTGAAAGGAGGAGTCATCATGAATCTATAAACATTTATACCTTACCCATCATTCTCTCTCTCTAACTATTGAAAAAAATTCAAATTTCACGTCGACTAGAGATTAGGCAATTAAATAGTATATAAGTAAAGAGCAACCCTCACCTTACAAGCCGATTTTGTAGGGTTGAGTTAGGCTCAAATTCACTATTTTAAGATGGTATTAGAACTATCTATATCCACTCTAAATAGGTCACCCACTATTAATACATGCACCATGGGTGTAAGGGGTGTATTGAGAAAAACTTAAGTCCCGCCAATCCTAGATCATTAAAAAAGGTCATCCACCATTTATTCACGTACCAAGTTCAATAGTGCTGGACGTGAGGGGATATATTAAGAAAAATCCAAGCCTCACATCAACTAGAGATTAGATAATTAAATAGTATATGAGTGGAGAACAACCCTCACCTTACAAGCTGGTTTTTTAGGGTTGAGTTAAGCTCAAATCCACTATTCTAAAACTAACCTTGAAGAACGTCCAAGTTGAAGAGTTTAGTGGCGATTCTGACAATTCAAGAATGAAACAATGACAATTTTTATTAGATTCTTCTTTCTTCTTCTTATTTTGTTGGTTGGCTCTCGTGAAAATTAGTAGTTAACCTTCTTAATTTTGGAGATTAGGTGTAAACTATTGTACTTTATGTGCCTTTTGATCTTTATATGTGTTATGATCTCTTCATTATGTTGTGGTTTCATTTTCATTCTTAAAGCATTTACATTTTAATCATTCATAAATTGATTTTAGAATTAGAATTTGATTGAAAAATATTTTCTAAATCAAAACTTGAAATAAACTGTATTGATATGAATAGAACTTAGATCTATAGTTTAAAAAGTTTTTCCTTAATGCAAGTTTTTCTCTTGAATATGCATGAAATTGATATTCCAAGAAAAAATATTAGAATTTTTTATCAAGGAATTGGTATTAGGTAAATTTAATCCTAGTCAAATTAATGAAGAGTGATTAACATGTATATAGTTTTAATGTCACTAAGAGATATAATAAGTGAAATCTAATCCCAAGCGTATCATATATGATTTTCTCAAACATTTACTTACTTTTTTTTTACTTATTTAGAGTTTCATTAATCTAATCTTTATTTCAATTAAACAAGCAATGAAATTTTGTGATTATTTATGTATACATTTCTGAACTAATTGAGAATCAATCAATCACCCTAATCCCTAAGGAGATTACTTTACTCGTCATTATTACAGATTGACTCTGGTACAACTATTATGGGATCAACAATGTATTTAACTTTTATTTATGTATGTAAATACATTATGGCTCTTACCAAAAAGCAAAGGTTCCAAATAAACTAACGAGGTTGCTTCCAATAAGGTATATTAAGAAAATATAGCTTAATGAAAAATGATCTATGCTTCAACTAGTAAAGATAGAGCAATAATGGTGTAATAGGAACCAAAGGCAATGATGTTCACTAATCGGCCATAAGAACCACAAGTTGTTAACCCTCCTCAACCCTTCACCTTTTTAGAAGGTCCTAAAGACATTTATGTGTTAAGATAGAGTAACAAAGTTGCAATAGTAACCAAAGCAATGATGCTGACTAATGGGCCATAAGAACCATGAGTTGTTAAACTTTCCCCCTTCCCCTCATTAGGAGGTCCTAAAAACCTTTATGTGTTAAGGTCCTCTGCTAAACATATTCCCTCCCTAACAATTATAAAAAGGTCATAATTGCTAAGAGTTGAAGATGGCCAACCATAAAAGCACATATTGTCCATGTTTTAGCACAAGTAGGGGAGACTACATAAAAAGGTCTAAGCCAACACTTCTTTTACAAGCATTTTACCTCATGGTGACCAAAAGCATTTTGTAAGCTTTTATTGAGCGTTAGCACATGGAAACCAATTCCTTCTACCCTATGTGTTTGGGAGATAGCCATCATTCTAGATGATGTGTTATCACTCCTACATTTACCTATGGTTAGGAGGCTATATTCCTACTCAACATTGAATCGAGATGGGACACTCAACTTCGTGATGGATCTACTTGGGGTCACCTTCAACTAGGCATGCATTGGGACTAAATGAGGAACATGTGTGTGATCAGTCTAGTTGTAGAGGTATGTGATGCTTGCATTTAAGATGGGAACATCATCTTTACAACCAAAGGTTTTTTTTTTGCTACATTTGGTTGTTGCACAATAAGTGCCAACAAGAGTTTTTATTGTATCAAGCAATGGGAGATCAACCCAAATCAAGCATTAAGAATAGAAACATAATACAATAATAGATGAAACAAGCATTTAACATTAATATGATAAATATTACACAAGAGTTCAATTAGTTAAATCTAACCCCACAAAAAATAGGTATATCCACTTAAATCTATGAGGGCATAAAAAATAAGAGATGGAAGAATCAAAGGAAAGACCCACACACAGCATGGTCCCAAGCATCGGGAATCTCTTCCACCGCTCCTAAAAGTTGCCCTATGTGTGAATAAGGGAAAAACCCTCGAGAGTTTGCCCTAAAACGAGTTGGGCAACCAAGTTAAAGGACTCATACCTGACGCCATTTAGTTTCACGCGAGCATTAATGTGTTCCAAAGACTAGTGGTCTCTGTCTCAAACCAAGCCCGACGCAAGCTTTCCACACTCGACGCAAATGGCAATTCCAGCTCTTTTACTCTTCACTTTTAGCTCTAGCCAATCTCAATCCTAATGATCCTCAATACCGACCTCTTCTACTCAATACCTACACAAAAATAAGGTGTATTAGGGTATTGTTCAATGATTTTCAAGTTAGCTATATATGCACACAAAAATTAGATAAAAAGAGGACAAAGAATGTGTATAGTTAAATGAAAGAGTTAACATTGCTCAGGAATTTGTAACCAAAAGTAAGTAAATATGAGCCTTATCAGTTTCTTGGGTAAGTTCAATGCGATCTTCAAATAGAGATGATAGATACACAATCTATCCACATCAAAAACATTATCCATGAAGCCAGACTAATGGATGAATGTGTTGAACAACAAGTTATGCATCAACTTGCACAAGGGCTTCATATTGGTCATGTAGAGAAACTTCTTCAGCTTTGTCTTGTCAAATGGACACTCAAAAAAGTAGAGAATGGAATCCGACGATATTTTTTGGGATGACCTTTTCCTAGTTGTCGGAGTAGGCCAATTTGACCTTCTTACATCCTAAGAAGGTGCCAATCAGAGTTGGAGTGATCCTTATCTCTAAACCGTCAACTGATCCAACAATGTCATTGTCGTCGATGAGTGCAAACACCTAGAAGTAAGAATATGGTGCATGGAACTAGTTGCACCTCAACTCAGCAAAGTTGGACCTTCTTGCCTTATCCAGGTAATGTTTGATATGAAAGTTATCCATAACGAGTTATGGGAAAGATATACTTCCCAAGGAGGAAAGAAGACTATGGGAACTTTTCCATGGGAACCTTGTTTCTGTGGGTAGCTTGTTTGGGTGTCATTTATGAAAGCATGGAGAAGAGGTTTTAGAGAGGATGTTTTAGGGTTCTTAAGAGAATATGTTGCAAGAAAGAGTTACGAGAATGGTTAAGTGTTTGAATATAAGAGAGAAAATGATTTTTTTGTTTAGGTGATTTGTAATTTGAAAGGACGTGATGAGAGAGATGATAGGTAATTTAATTATAATTTGACAATATTTTTTATTGTCTTACTGTTTCATGCATACTTTACTCAAACCTTATTTTGTAATCATTAAAAACATTAAATGCGAGAGATACCTTTTCAAATGGAAGACGATACGCTA